TTTATTTATTGTGTAGTGTTCGCGTAAATGTAAGAAATCATTACATTAATGATGTTGTCATTTTATTTATATTGAAATCGGTCGTAGAAATTTTTTAATTTTATCACTGGTTTTCGTTTAAAACTTTAAAACACGCTTAGAAGTTTTGAGCAAAACAACGTTAATTTGCAAATTATGTCAAATTTAGTTCTCGGTTCACTCGATATTTTGTGCTATGGTATAGACAGTCCAGTGTACAAATAATAAAGGTCAATGAAAGACGAAAGATAGGTAATATGAAATTGCCGTTCTGCAGTACTGCCCATTTCAATTCAAAATAATTTATATATGGGTTAGAATTTTCCTAAGAATTCTAATTTCAAGTTAGTTTTATTTTAAAAGCATAGAATTAGTTTTTTTTTTTTCAAAATTAGTCATTTGTTTATTGATTAGCGTTATATATCCCTTCAGCATTTGAATCTGCGTCGTTATCATGAATACGTTCAAAATTCGAGTAATTATAGAATATGAGTACCGACGAGGCAGCAACGCGGCACAAGCAGCACGTAACATCAACTACGTTTACGAACCGAAAATTTCAAACGTATGCACCACTTTCCATTCTGAAAATTTCGTGATCGTCCAAAAACTTCGGTCGACAGTAACGAACTTAAGGCAATTGCGGAAACTGATGATAATAAATCTACGGCTGAATTAGCAACAGCGAAAGCTGTTGCTAATTCAGCCTTAGCATTATTAAACCTTAGCATTATTTTTTTTATAGGAGAGGGGGCAAACGAGCATACGGCTCACCTGATGGTAAGTGACTACCGCTGCCCATGAACAACTGCAACACCAAGGGAATTGCAGGTGCGTTGCCGGGCTTTTAAAAATAAGTAAGCTCATTTCTTGAAGGGCATTCTCTATTTATCAAATTACTTCAAAATGCCTTTAAACAATTTGCTACCTCCCGTCCAGCTTTCTTCCAGAAAAGCATCAATAAACTGCTACTGCGTTAGCAACGATGCATTGATTGCATAGGAGATTAATTTGATTAATGGAAATAAGGAATGCAAAAAAAAATATTAATTTATTTAATAAAAGCTGCAATTTATAGGTAAAGATAAAATATATCGAGGTAAGTGCGTAAGACGCACATAAAAAAAATATTTTTTGTCAATAGATTTAAATTTAACAGAAACTAACATTAAATCATAGCCCAAGTTCATCTCAATATATCACATAAAATTAAATCTAAATTGGTTCGGCCATAGTGAAGGTTAAATTGCACAAGCGCACCGAAAGACAGAGAAAACCTTGTTTGCGGTTCTAATTATTTGCTTAATATAGTATAATGTATATTATATTGTAATAATATATCATAAGGTATGCAAAATAATTACTTTTATAAATACAATAAAATTTTTCACGTAGTAAAGCCACTCTTACGCTATATTATGATTGTAGCACGAATGAATCTGCTGGAACGGGGTAGAAACACGCACTTACAGAATAGCAGCGTAAAATAGCACCTTTATGTTGCTGTGTTTCGTATGGTAAGTTTAGAGAACCGGAGACCCTTTATACCGGGAGCGAGGCTTTCTACTGGGAGCGAGGGGTGACAACGCATTTGCATTTTGATTTTTAATTGAGAATAAATATAACATCAGGTGGACTGAGTACTCGTTTATCACCCTTATTCTACAAAAAAAAGACAGGATTAATAAGAAGAATCATGTGGGTGAATGTAGCATCAACTTACGGTCTCTGATGGTGCGGTTGGGTGATTTTCTTCTTGTTCTTTTTCAATCATACGGATTCCACAAAAAATCCAATCCCACAGCTGAACGATGTTGTCTCTCCCGTTGTAGAGCCTTCATCGCCAGTTTGGCCTTAACCTGCCCTGGGATTGACGACCACAGATGTCTTGCACATTTGACGCCCGTCATCGGGTATTTAACGTCTGGCGTAGATGAGATGATAATACCGCCATCTATTGAAAGCTATTGGTATGAAATAGAATTATTACCGTGGAACCTGGCAGCTTTGCCATTTTTAGAAGGACTTAAAAGTTTAGGACCAATATTCCAACAAAATGTGTATTGTCAGAGTGGGCGTCATTGGTAAACGTGACAGTATGTTCTTCATAGATTTGGTATACTTATTAGTGATTTAAACAAATACTAACATTAAATAGACAAAATACTCAAGAATAGAAAATGGCAAAGCCAACCTCACTTTGTGACCACTTTGCTATCAGGGTTTATAAAGAAAAGAATAAGATTTAACTTAAAGGTTGAAGGTATGTTTTTCTCATAATATAATACACAAGAGTCAGAGTTATGACTTGCTCCTATAATTGTGTTGTAAATAGCAAGATTTACACTTGTGGGAAATTTGCCCTCCCATTTTTCAATATTTCACACAAACTTAAAAATATGTGTCAGGGTTGTCAAAATCCTTGATTACGTACGTAATTTAATTTTTTATATAAATTTTGTCACAATATTTTCATATGCATTAATATAAAATATTATATCTAACAAAAATAATAATAAAGCTTAAATCAATTATAGTATAGATAAGAAAGGCTTATCACAATTATTTTTAACGAGAATTCCTTACTTTATTAGTCATCATGATAATTTTATTACGAGTCGTAAAAAAATGATGTCAGGTCATAATTACTGTAATCAATCTAAATGTTGTTTGCCCACAATATTAAAACATTAATAATCATTAAAATGACAATTAATGTTTTGTTTAATATCAATACACTAAGTTGAAATTATGAAAATTTCTGAGTAGTTATAATATTATTATTTGTATTATTATAATAAATAAAAACGCAGTAAAAATTAATATAGATTTCAATTTTCTTTTGAATTACTTTTGATAAAGATGAATTGATTGACGACTCATTTGGTAAAATCGGTCTATCGAGCTCCTACGGGAAACATCGATACAAACATACATACATAGAATGGCAATTACAGAACAGTTTGTTGTAATTGGTTAAAACTATCGACTAAAAGTGACAACCCTTGGTAGTAGCAAAACGTGGCAAAATAACCGTCTCATCGTGGCATCACTAGTATGGTAACTTTGCCAAGTTAGTTTTATAGGTAAATATTAGGACCAACACGTTGAAAACGATATATTACATTTGATAAACATTAATATTACGTTACGACAAATATATAGATACCTACATTCAGTAATTTAACAGCAATAAACGAAAGTTCTGGAGCACTGAACAAAGAGGTTATTTCGCCGGTACGATTGCGCGTTAAAATAAAATGCCAAAATTAACTCTCATGTTGCCATATCGAAAGCAATGCTGTCAATTAGTTATTGTATTTTCTTATAATTAATAGAATCAGGCGTTACTTTGCAGAAATCCATTATACAAAAGCTTTTACAAAAATTTACTTCGCAAATATCCGCGTTATAAAATAAAATGATGTGTCTTACCTAGTATGAAGAAGCACCTCCCGCCCTTCCTCAATTGCGTGCACTATCCCCGTCACCACTAATCCCAGCACCGTTACTCCCAACACCACTACACTAGGCAAGACACACCACTGACGATAATACGACACGTGTTTCGCCTCTACACGAGGCATCCTCATGTGATATAGACGGTGACGGACGGTAGACTCTACGGTGGCTAACCGCTAAGACTTAGCGGTTAGCCACCGTAGAGTCAGCGGTTAGCCACCGTAGAGTCAGCGGTTAGCCACCGTAGAGTCAGCGGTTAGCCACCGTAGAGTCAGCGGTTAGCCACCGTAGAGTCTATATCACCTGAGGATGCCTCGTGTAGAGGCGAAACACGTGTCGTATTATCGTCAGTGGTGTGTCTTGCCTAGTGTAGTGGTGTTGGGAGTAGCGGTGCTGGGATTAGTGGTGACGGGGATAGTGCAGGCAATTGAGGGAGGGCGGGAGGTGCTTCTTCATACTAGGTAAGACACATCATTTTATTTTATAACGCGGATATTTGCGAAGTAAATTTTTGAAAAAGCTTTTATTGTATTTTCATCCAAAAATGGCACATCTCGAAAAACGTCCCGTTTTAATCGTAATTTTGTACAAGTACACCCCTGATGGCAAAGTTACCTTCCATTAGTAAAGTTGCCAGACTTGACTGTAGTAATAGAAGGATTCTTGTACGTCATCTCCAAACGGCATAAGTTGTGCAGTGTCTAGGATGTAAGATATCCGGTGCTGCAGTTGCGTGGTCGCTTAAAAATCCAAAGATTCAATGTCTAGTGAAAATTATAATAATAAAATATTTTACACAATGTTTAAGGATAACTCTATTTTCTGCAAGTAATATTAGATGTGTGAGTAAATAATATAAGCTTAATCATGCGCAGAGAGTTGGTCTCTGATACGTGCATTTGATCCTTATGCATACCACACCATATTTACAAAATAAATAAAGAATATTTTTATTTACTTATTAAAATATTTTAGTAAAGCTGTTTGAGGTAATAGAAACGAGTAGTGCTAGTTACATAGAGAGCATTTACGATATGCATGCCCCTGATTCGGGCTTGAGGGATTTTGTGGGCTAGAGAAGATCTTTTACCTGGTTTTTTGAAGTTTTTCGATTTTGAATTAATAACATATTAACCTGCTTAGGACTATCGCGAAATTACCTAAATTATGTTGTCACATACAATTATGAAAGGATTTTCGTTTATTATTCATTTATATTTCGTTAATATAGTCGCATATTATCCGAGATTTATTATTAGATTGAAAAATAATTATTGTCCATCGCCTTGAAAAACAAACATTTATACCAGAACTATGAGGTTATAAATATTAAAACCTCTATACTTTTCCAAAGGGTTCTATTGTATTCACAAATTCACTTGTGGAATAAAATTCTGGATACAATAAAATTTTCAAATATTTCGAGATAAAAAAATATTTTTAGATACGAAACACACAATTTACCTACCACAATAACAGAAATTTAAAACAAAATTGGATTAATATTATATATTTTTTACCTTCATACATTCTCTCCAAATCCGGTGATAAAAGTAAAAGCCTCTTATCGAATTCCCCATCAGGAGATAACATCTTTTCTCTTTTTCGCATTCTCATCGCTTCGTAGTTTAAATTATTTCGACTTTCTGGTGTTTTGTTGTATACAATAAATTTTATCAACTGATCCATTATTTGACTTAATTCACGCAATGTTATAGATTGGTTATAGACCTTTAGGTATATCACCAATATGATTTAAAATCTAAATTGAAATGATTGGTATAAAATTTTACAATCCCATATAATTGACACTAATAAAGAATTCGACAAGCGCTGTAGCGAAAAGTTTGTAATTACTGCTTTGGAAAGGCACACGCGTGGTCATATAATGTTACGTAAATTCCGCTTTATGGCATGATTTGGTGAAATCAAACACGTAATAAGGGTGAAACAATGTGTAGGTGTTAACTCCACAAACGGCAAAATTATTCTGAGAAGAGTAACACGATATGGCTTGGAATGTGTATGCAAATTGCATTGTGTATGTTACATGTGGACGAATTTAAGCAACTTGACGAAACTTTTACCGACGTATCACAAAAATAATTTTAAATTACTTTCAGAATTGAAATAAAATCTATTTCACGAAGAGGTCCCGCCAGAAGTATGAGAACTAAAATGTAAGTTATGAAATTTGACAACGAAATCTTAAGATTTTTCGGCGCGGCGAAGGTACTTCTTTAGTTAGTAAGACACTTATTAAACCTTAAACTTTTTATACTTAGTTAAGCCACGCTGCAGCTTTATTATGTTCAATATTAATTTTTGATGAGTATGGAGAAATAAACTGTTTTCACTGGTAACGAAGCATTCTATCTCAGTTCTCTGGAGTGACAATATAAATAAAGAGGTTCACAATGTTACCGTATATTTTTATTCCAATTTTACACGATATCTTTGTCAGTTTAAAAAAGATTATCATGATTTTTTTATTAAACAGTTTATACTCCGGGGGTAAACCCATATACATTTTAATAAAAAAGATCCACTTCAAAGGGTAAGAAGGTAGATAATGAAGTTTTTAATGCAAGTATTTGGATGAAATTTGAGCTTACGATAATCCTTAGTTAACTCAAAAGAGGCAACAAATTACACTTTTAATAAAAAATAAAATAGACTTCTTAAAAAATATATATATACATATTTTGGACAATCCAAATTATTAATTTACTTTTTTACCAAATAATTAATTTACTTTTATTAATTTCCGAAACACGTATTTCGTTTAAAGCTACAAAAATGTTTTTGCTTAATTAACACGATTTTTTTGACTGCTTTATACCGGTGATTCGTATTTTATTACTGAAAAAGTTGTCAAATAATTAATTTAAAAAAAGATAAAGCGGGGTATTCATTACTTAGAATAGTGAAATTCAAAAGGCTTCGTAAGGATTAAAACCTAAAGCTAATAAAAAAAATCAAAGTGATTAGTTCAGTTTTTCGAAAGATATCTTGCTCACATCCATACCAACGAACTGACGTCCAAGTGAAATTATAATTTTCGATGATTTTTTTTTAAGTAATCTAAATAAATAATTCTAAATCTATGTCAGAAGCATTAATTTCACTCTCGTTGAAATCTTCTATTACATACCTGTTATAAAGCTGGTGGAAGAGAGGTAATTTGAGTGGATTGCGATTTTTTGATTTGGTTACATAGCTTCTTGTTCGATGTATGCAATAATTAAATTATTTCTCATATAAACTATGTGTTAGCATCGTTACACAAAAGCGTTGTCACCACTGAGGTTCTCTTCACTAAACATGCGAAACACAGAAGCAACTTGCTGCTATTTCATGCTGATATTCTGTGAAAGTGTGATCCTTCCTGAGACGAGCCGACCAATTCCTTGCATTTAAAATAAATTTTATTTTATTTAGTTCCTAAAATATTAATGTATATTTTACTATACTCATGTAAGTAACCATTAAATGAAAATATTAGGCCGGACAGACAGACAGGCAGACAAAAATTTTGCAAATTTTTATTTATGTCTCAATAGCATGACTTCATGCTATTGAGATCATTCTTCATTCACCAATCGTTTAAGCTAAATAAAAGCCAGTAATTTCAATATTAAAGACAGACATTTCAAATTGATTTATATGAGTATATATATATATTTATAGAATTAGGGTGACAAAAGAGCACACAGTCCACCTGATGGTAAGTGGTTGCTGTGGCCCATAGACATATATCCTCAATTACAAATCAAAATGCAGATGCGTTGTCACCCGTGAAGACTAAGATGGAATGCCTCGTTTCCAGTAAAAAGGGTCTCCGGTTCTCTACACTCACCATACGAAACACAGCAGCGTATATAAGCTGCCATTTTACGCTGGAATTCTGTGAGAGCGTGGTCCTCCTCCGGTCGAGCTGACCCATTCGTGCTACAACTATACCAGTAATATAGCTGCAGCATGGCTCTACCACGTATATAGATAATGTGGAGTGCAAAGTTCTATGTCATTCTCATATAATAGTAAGGTTCACATTCACACCTGAGCATGGATATCTGCTGTTGAAGGGTGGATATTTCATAGTCATTACGCTTGAAAAGCCGATTAAAAATCACAGTAACAGACGTATTGAACCTTACACGCAGCTGCCCGTTGTCGGTCAAAGTAAATTTGTCTAGTATGAATGAAAAAAAGCTTACTAGTTATTTTTAACGTTACTTCACACGAAATCTATATTTAGCTCTGTAAGATTCTGGGTTGTTGGTTTTAACTATCTTTCTCAAATCTACGATCTACTAGTCATTAAAACGAGGTCGTATGGGCGATAATAAAACAAATCTTCCTTCACTAATTACACATTAACCTAATAGATAGAGTCATAAGAGGTGAGTCTTAGTGGTTATTGTAGAATTACAGTAGAAATTTGAAATTAAAAGAAATTTTGATATTTAAGAAATTATGATTTCATTTGTACATAATATTTTTGTAATTCCATTTTAGTTCAAGAAATTATTATATTTTCACTATATTTATCTGTTTTAAAATCATCACAGAGTTGTCAGAGTGTATTAAAAATATAAATCTCAATTATAATATAATATGGGAATAAAAAATAAGATACAAAAATTAAATTTTCCATTTCCCTTTATCTTTTATTAAATAATGCAAATTAAATCTGCAAAGCATAAAATTGTAACGAACACTAGCCAACACATAATTTTAAAATGTTTAAATGAAAATAGTTTTGAACTGTGTGGTTAGAAAATTGGATCATTCAAATACATTGCTATTTTTCAGTCGAAGAATGTTACTGTAAATTACGCATATTCCAACACACAGGCATTTTTAAATCACCCCCTAATATATTTCTACACCATAAGCGTGGTGATTTCTAATAATTTTATTATTTCGTTCATTTATTAATTCGTCATGCTTTACTATTATATCATTATCATGAAATTGTTTATAATTCTACTCACACGATCAATTATTAAATAATTAGGGCATTTAATTATGAAAAGTAAAAAGTAAAAAAAAACCAGCTTATAATATACGTCAATCTACTGGGCAAATGCGTCCTCCCACTGTAGTCGATTGAAACCATGTTGACGTTAGACAAACACAATTTTAATTTTATGCGTTAAAAATTAAGTTTTTTCATTTTTCATTTCCGAGGCGGCTATAGAGTAATTGAATATAATTAATAGAATCAGGCGTTACTTTGCGGAAATCCATTAAGTTAACGGTCAGCCACCGTAGAGTCTACACCACCCGAGGATGCCTCGTGTAGAGGCGAAACACGTGTCGTATTGTCGTCAGTGGTGTCTTTCCTAGTGTAGTCGTGTTGGGAGTAGTGGTGCTGGGATTAGTGGTGACGATAGTGCACGCAATTGAGGGAGGGCGGGAGGTGCTCGTCATACTAGGTAAGACACATCATTTTATTTTATAGAGCGGATGTTTGCGAAGCAACTTTTTAGAAGCTTTTATATAGAGTAATTAGTCCGTCGTGCTACTCTTGGGCGTTTTGGAGGACTTTTTTCATTTATAAGCAACCTTATACCGTGACCGTGGTAGATGAGAGGCGCTAGCTGTAAATATTACAGTAAGCGAAAATTAAAATACTGATTTACCACGTGCTAAGCGGTGAAGGAAAACATCGTAAGTGAATTAACATTTCAAAGGAATAAAAATATTAAATGTTTGACATTGGCAATAGCATACATATAGCTTGTACTTTGAGTATTAACGTCAATAAATGACATAATTCTTCCAAGCGACACATAAGTGTTTGTTAAAAACAAAATAAGTTGAACGCGAAAAAATCCGTAAGCTTTTACGAATTTATCACGTTTAATTTAGTTTTATTCAATGTGTATAGTTTGCTTTAATATAAGGAGTCATAAAGTTGTTTTTTGTAATTTAACCATATGCTTAATTTCAATTTTTATGATAAAATTATTTATTACGAACCTTTTAACTCGCTTTTCTTTGCGTTTGATAATACGCTTTTCCATCGATTTCCTTCTTTATTCATGAGTCTTTTTCAGAAAAAAACACCACATTAAATATTCACGATCAAGAGAAATGTTTACTTTCCACTAGAAACTCGAAAAGAATGAGTAAATTTTTGTTAAGTTAACGAATACGTTGTGAAAAGGTGTACGTCAGTTTTATAAAGGTGTATCAGTTCTTTGTACTTTTATAGTTGGATTGGATGTTTTTGAGAAATAACACAGGCTATTGAAATAAACAATAGGTGTAAAAGGAAGCTATTAACGTAAAAACACATTCATATAAATACACAAATATATATTATATATCGAAGGTGAAGTTGAGAAAAATCGTAAGTATTTGTGGAGGGGTGGTCATCGCAACACAATCGAAACACATGGAAGCCTAAGTCGCGCTAGCAAAGTTCCGAAGTAAAGCAGTGTACGAATATATAGAATAGCTTCGAACTACCCCTCGAAGCGTTGGTCGCAATAATAATTTTGGTTGGTAATAATAATTATATCATCTGCCAATTGTAATAACTCCTCTTACACAGAACAAACGTGATCAAAGAAAACTCGCATAAAAATATACTCGTAACACAACACGTTCAGGGACGTTCCATTAATTCTCGCCAAATAACATGGATATTATACGAGTACTTTTATGAATAAATT